AACTTTCCAGACTCCTTCTGCATAGTATCTTCAAGGTACGGGTTGTACACAGAAATAATGGCTCCACAGGCTTTGCTCTTCTCATATCTGTTTGTTCAGTGACTTTTCCTCTGCGGAAAACAAGATGAGCCAGCTCGTATCCATTCGACAGAAAGATCTTTTAGATATCTTCAAACAGAACTTACAGGAGCTTATTATCTCATCTATGTTTCCTTCCACTTCTAGAGGCCTATTGCATCAAGCATAACCAACTTGTGCTAACTCTCAAAGCCTTTCTCTTTGTTAATTCTCATCAGTATGAAAAAATTATTCCCACCACAGACAAAAATTTTATACCAGCCTCCATTAGATTTTCAAACAAGCACATTTGTCTCCCCTCATGCTGCATGGGAGAAGCCTTCTGTAAACCTCCCTACTGATAGCTCACTATTCTGCTTCAAATCACTGCCTGCAGACACACCTTGCACGGTGTTGGTATTACTGCCCCCATGCTGATGGTATTGCCTCAGAATCTCCCCATGTTCCCCATCTTTCTACCTGTAGTCTCTTACCTTACAACAAGATAACAAGCCTTTTGGACAGGAGCTATGGTTGTGTTCTATACTGATATAGTACCAAGCTCAGAAGTATCTTAGTCCATGACTAAAGCTTGAAAGGCTCTTGAAACTAAAGTCTTGCTGTTAATAGAAGCAGTAATAATAAGTGCAGACATGGTATTGTGTCATTGCACACAAAAGTATTAAGGGTCACATTTGGCCCTCAATAAGCTGCTGGATTGCCACTCCATTCATGAGGGCATGTCCCCGTGACTGAAAGTGGTTGAAGTACTCTGCCTTAAAAACCTGCTACAGTACCTACAGTAAAGAGTAGTCTGTATCTCTTTGCTCATCCCAGCTCAGAAGTCACCTGCGTTAGCCTGAGCCACCATGAACACACTCCACATAGTGACTGAAGCTGAGGAGAGCGCGTATGGTCACCTGGATGGCAGTCACTTGTGGGACTCTTTACTACACTAAGCATTTAGATGTGCAACAAAAACTCATCCACAAATGCTCATTATTATGAATTTCAAAATGCACTAATGATAATATTACAGTACAGTTAAGCAAGAGTGTAAAATAAATGGTAACAAGTCACATCCTTCCTGCAGATGAAGTTTAACTCCTGATTTTGTAATTTGGAGTATCATTGGTGGACAGCAAAAATAACTCATAAACAAAGGTTTTGTTTCTAAATTTTGATTTAATTTTAATTTAAGGAGATTAAATGGAGGAACTTAACAAATCCCTTTCCAATCAACACTGATTTACTTTGTAGACTTGATAACAAAACTAGTTCTTTAATACTTCACAGTGCATAAACGCAGAAGGGACCACGAGATAATCTAGCCTGAACTCTTTTATATCAGAGACAGTAAAATTTCACTCAAATACCATAAGTAAAATAAACTTCTTATATCTTTGCATCCTTCAGTCTGCTCCCCCCAATTACAAAATCGTACAAATTGTTCAAATTACAATTGTACAAATGTACAATAACATACCTAATGCTAATGACTGAGTAATAGATTATTTAAAGTAGCATCTGAGAGCTATCTCTTAATGCATGAACAACTCAATGGAAGTCCTTTACAAGGACAAGCTTATCAAAGTGGTGACATGAAATGGATATGTTTTTTCCTCTTTCCCACCACCTGCCAACCACTGGGCAATTCCCAGTGTAGGTGGGTTGTGAAACCAGAACCTGAACAGTAACAACAACAGCATCCTCAGAGTGGCCACTGAAACTTCATCCATAAGGCACATATCATACTTATTTTATTTCATGGCTGTGCAGACCATAGGAAAGTACTTCAGTAGAATTCAGCACTAGAGCAATGATAGAGGAAGGCATGCAGAAGCAGCTTTCCTTCATGAGACTTCCCTCCCTTCAGGGTGGAATCAGCTGCTTCTCTTTAACCAGTTGTCAATCCAATTTAGCTATCTAGACACTGCACACTCACTAAAACCAGGAAACTGCAGTATACAGCGGCCTTCCCTTGCCCATCAGTGGACCTGTGAGTACTATCTCTATTCACTAAACCTTTAATCAATAGTCAATCTCACAAGCTCAGCACTTTCTCCAAGAACTCTTGCATGTGAACAGTGTACTGGTGAACAAGGTAACAACTCTAAACAACAGTTTTTTAAAGAAAATTTAATAGGAGAATTGCCCTGGACAACATTATAGTGATACTGAACCATATCTGAAAATCCCCGATATGGCGAAATATTTACCAGCTATTCAATGGGATTACAAAAAAAACCCTATGCTCTGTAGAGTGCACATCTCAAGCATTTGCTATCACAGAGAATGTACTTTATTTTACAGTAAAAATTGTAACCTTCCCAAGGAATGCCAGAGTTCTTGCTTATTACACCAATAACAGGAAGCTCAAATTTTATAAAAAGTCAGCTAATTTTCTTAAAGAAATCACACTAACATTTTCTCATCTCCTTCATTTTTGGTTTTAGTCCCATAACCAAGCTATAGCAGATTGTTTTTATGACAGTAACAACTGCACAGTACTTCTCAATCTGAATCTAATTCTGGAAATAGGTCTTGTGGGAAAAGTTCAGATCTGAAACAACTGTTACAGGAAGAAAGTGATATCAGCCAGACTTTTGTACTCTGAACAAAAACACCCACTGGACTTAGTCAAGTAAACTTTAGCTGAATATAACATTTTTTACATTTGCAGTTCTCAGATACTGCTGAAAGTGTTGCAGTGCTGCAGTCCCTGCAACTCATTGATTCCTTGGATCTCTGGATCCCTGGGAGGCACTAGCAATACAAGGTTTAAGAAACTTGTAAAACCATGGTTCTTCAAATCACCATCACCACTCATGCTCTTGGATTTGAAGTAAATTTTTTGGGAAAAAAGACTTGAATATTTGATCACCTTCACTCATGGAAAAGACACTTCATAGCTACTCTCTGAAATTTCCTCCTTCTTAGAGGAAAAGACATCTACAAACAAAGGAAAAAATAGAACAGATGGAAGCTCCCCTGATGATTACTTAGGAGGAAATTCTTTATGTAGTGAAAGCAAAGATGATCAGCTTATCACACAAATGGTGTTACCATCACTATACAAGGAAAGAGACTATACTATACCAGTCTCAGAAAGAGAAGCCTGATATTCAGAACAATCAAGACTAGCTAGGAACTGTTGGTATTTTAAGGCACAAGAAATTGCGAGAAATGAGCAAGTGTAATGGTAAAAATATGTTTAAATGCAGAGCAGACAAACATACAGATTCCCTCTAAAAAACTGTGTGCGATTTTAGGTATCATTTACTCTGTTTTGTTACAAATATTAATAAAATCAGCCTAGGAAAATAATAAGATAAAGGCTTCATCACAATCTGTCCCCATTTTATCTGCCACCCTGAAGCTTAAATACTGCATATTCTCCTGTACAGTCCCTTCTAGTTGAAAGGATCACCTCGTAAAACATCTGCATGCCTGACTCAATACCTTTCTCAAAATCCTCCTTCTCTGTGGTTTCCCCTCAAACCCTCCAACAAACCAATGCCAATAACTGTTAAGTTGCTGCTACATTATCAGCCTGTTTGGCCCATTTTCCATCTACTTACCCATATCCACTTTCTCTGTCCTGTCTTGACTTAAATAACAAGCTCTTTGGGACCTAGCTTGCCTTTTCCCTTTATGTTTATAAGGCACTAGGCACAAGCACGAGGCACAATGGGACACTACTGTAGTGAGAGGAATGTAAAAACAGTAAAAATAAAAATAAATGGTGACTGGGGCTGATAACTGAAATCAACTCAGGCTCTGAAAGAAATGTGCCTTCCATTTTAGTTTAGGAACAGTGAGAAAAACATATTTATTTGAATCAAGCAAAAGCACTCACTTCCTTCTTCCTAATTCCAAAGTGAGTGGTACTCTCCATATTTTTATTAGTATGCCTCTTTTCTTTCAAGCAAAGAAAGGAGAAACAAGATGCTGCAGCTTTCCACGGCTCCAGTAACAGGCTACCATCACCAAGATATTAATAAACACAGTGAGATGAAATTTGTAACACCATTGCTAAAGGAA